ACCAAGGTTTCGCTTTGTTTTGCTCAGCGTTTTAAGCCCTTAAAACAGCTAATGTTATTTGAACACGGGTGCCTAGGGGGATTCCACTGAATATAAAATGTAGGTACGCGTGTACGTGAGAATTGGGCCAGCAGATCAATTTTGGTTCCTCCCTTGTCCTCTATAAGCAGAAAATACTGAATCTAAAATGCAACAGGTTTATTCTTCCCAGGAATCTACACATAAAAATATAACAAAGGTCAGAACCAAGATCTAAGCCTTCATGACTAAGACTTAACGTCCCCTTATATGACGAAAGTTAAACATACCCTACATGACAAGTGGCAAAGATTTCCTTCCTGGTCAGGGTCAAACGTTCCCAATATGACAAAGGTTAAATGCCCGTTGAGTGCCTAATGTTAAAAGCGTGTTACCATCTTGCTTCCATGGTTTGTTCGCCAATGACATTTTTACAGTTGATCAGTTTGCAGTAACTCAATCGAGTTTCTCCAATTACTGTCGACTTGAGACCAATCGGGCTCTGTTATGGCGCCATTACAGAGACAAAGGACAATGGGATTAGCTGGTAATGGTTCGAAAAACGAGAAACATCGCCAGAGCCACGCGGACGGTTCTGTTTATCCTGACGTGTCGGTCAATAGACAGGACATGTAACTGCGATAGTAAATACATACGTTTAACCTACATGGTATACTTTTGGTAGACGTTCAAGCATCGTTACTATCGCCAGTGATGGCCCGAAATCATGCAAACGTTGACATGGTCGAACTCGAATTCTGCTATCAAGCCTAATTCCTTGTTCGGTGATAAATTAAAGAAAAAATCACATTTTGACAATTACTGGGCAGAATTTTGCAGTTACTTCAATTTAAATGTTCATTTCATGTTTAAAGGGAGTAGCATCAAGCTGGATCGAATACAGTATGGTTTCGTGAAAACTTTCCCAGATAATTCATTAGGAAGAACATGAAATCCGTCTTAAAGTTTGGAGACTCCGAGTTCGAATCCGACATATCTGACCATTTTCATGTGTTCGGTCCCATGTGACATTTTCAGATTGTATTAAAGGAACCATAGTGTATAATTTAATGTAGTCGAGCCCAAAATGGGAAAAAAATGTCTATATGACGTACAGGGATAGTTTGACGTAATCAGTGAATGGCTGGTAGGACGTGTAGTAATGTGACGTCATGACCGAGATTATATTTTCTGTAGGATTCACGTATAACGGTAGTATGTACAAATCATGGGCGATAGTGGAGCTGCACAGACACGTATCCCATACTGTACTAAAACATGCAAAATATATATGTTTGTGTATATCGTGCGGTCAAATAATTGTTGAGAGGTATTCATTTAAAGTGCACTGAATTCACAGTCGTTATGATAAACACAGAAGAGAAACATCATTGGGCAGCCGTAGCATAATCATTTAACGTAACAGAAGTTCTGACGAACTGATTACATTAATTATCTTAATAACGACTTAATTATAGAGGTGATTAAGAAGACGGAGGAACATACACACGAGAATTCGCCGTTATAGCACGACAATGGAAGCATGCTATATATAGCTAGCTATCTGCTCATCTACCCCAGTGCGTTGTAATTACGTCATACATTCAGTGTATTACAAACATTTACAATGACTTAGGGTGAGGTTTGTCCAAAGAATATCACCGGAAATGTTTTTGACGTACCTATTGAATGTACATTGTATATAATATGGTACACTGCAGTCGGGAACTGAGCGACTCTCCGCTATACGTTCGGGCCTCCCTCGGAGGTAAAGACGCTGAAAAGTGGCGCGAGCTGCCTTGGGAGATTTCGACAGTGATTATTACCGACAGCCCCATGGGCCCACAACGAGGCGGGCTAACGACATGTAACAGTACATATAATTCTAACGAACATTCCGAGGGTCAGAAAAAAACACATGTCGGCTTTACCTACGCCAAGATCTGAACCAAATCGTGGCTAACGTATACAGTATTTATATTTCAGCTACACATATATAAACAGGCGATTCTACGAGTGTTCACACTGATTACGAGAAATTCACAAAGCTACTCTGAAAAACATAAAGGCTTGTGAATAATACCACAATAAGTGTACCTCTGATAAACATAAAGGCTTGTGAATAATACCACAATAAGTGTACCTCTTATAAACATAAAGTCTTGTGAATAATACCACAATAAGTGTACCGCTGATAAACATAAAGGCTTGTGAATAATACCACAATAAGTGTACCTCTGATAAACATAAAGGCTTGTAAATAATACCACAATAAGTGTACCTCTTATAAACATAAAGGCTTGTGAATAATACCAAAATAAGTGTACCTCTGATAAACATAAAGGCTTGTGAATAATACCACAATAAGTGTACCGCTGATAAACATAAAGGCTTGTGAGTAATACCACAATAAGTTTACCTCTGCTAAATATAAAGGCTTGTGAATAATACCACAATAAGTGTACCTTTGATAAACATAAAGGCTTGTGAATAATACCACAATAAGTGTACCTCTGATAAACATAAGGCTTGTGAATAATACCACAATAAGTGTACCTCTGATAAACATAAAGTCTTGTGAATAATACCACAATAAGTGTACAAGTGACCTTCTCTAAAGGGAATTTTTAAGACCGACGTAAAAAATATTCAATGTAAAATTACAATAATTACATAATACTGTATGTCGGCAATCGACGAATACAACTCTGAGCACTTGCCTAAGGGATTAAGAATCGAAAACGTTTGTTTAAAATTGAACTATCGATCATTATTGTTAAAGATCCACTGCCAAAAACTGCAACTGTTCATTATTGGAAACTTTTTAATCAGAATTGAAAAAGCTTTTATAAATCATGTTTAGAAAATAAATCAATGGCTAGCGGAACTTTAAAAAAAAAAGAAATATAGGAACAACATTGTTCTGATCGAGGAAATTCAACGTCACTAGACCGGGGAATCGAATCATGGACCTCCGATGACCTATCTGATATGCTAAGCAGTGGTTTTCTAACTCGGTCTTATATAATGTAAACTTTTAATTATCCTAAGACAGTTATCGAACAAGTTGTTCTAGCTTATATTAATCATTCTTGTTAGCTAGGATAAAAGAATACAGAGGGTTTTAATGTGGTGGGGAAACCGTAGTACCCGGAGAAAACCGACGTTGTCGGGCATGTTACCCAATTGAACCCCGGCCGTCCTAGTGAAAGGCGGATGCGCTATCATCTGCTTCACCCGAATCAATCTTGCTACATATATATTCAATAGGATATTGATGGAAGGTTAATATGTGTATGAAAAATACAATGAGATTTTTTTAGTATTTTGCTAATGTAATAAACGAAACAGTAGTTCATGAACAAATGAACGGACGGAGAGGAGTGTTAATGTGAATCAACAGTACAAAGCAGTGCTGGCTGTCTCAGGGACATGGTGCTGTTTATTTACGATAAGTCGGACAAGGAGGTGTTTATCAGATGCGCAATATTTTCTGCCTAAATGCAAGTGTTTGTTATTGGTATTGACATACCGGAATTGAGCGTTTGTTTATGATGTCGGTGTATGACACCGCACCCAATCTCCCGCTAATTACCTCCCCGTGTAGTGGGCTAAGCATCCAGCAGACGGCGCTAGTGTATGTATTTCGGTGACGTTAATGGTAAACATCTTTAGCAGATTTTCATTAATATTATTAATGATGAACAATTTATGGGGTTATTAAGACTATGGAGGGACGTTTACACAATGATGCACGGCCGTTGTACGACAACAGGGGAAGCATGCTATCTTCTTCTCCTGTACTGCCATTAAGCTGTCTGCAGCTGGTTCCCATTACTTAGCTACTTCGTCCTTCAAACTTAGTCTTAATTTAATTCGATCTCCGCACTTGTAATACAAACTCGAGAAGTCTAATTACATCTCGCGAATAGCTATGTTTGTAGGTAAATGGAATGTTGCTCCCTCCCCGAACTACGAGTGGGAGACCACCTTGAATACTACAATGCTGTATCGGTCAAGCACTTCGTAAAGCTCGTTGTAAGGTATTGAGACCGCCAATTACAGCAATGCTAGCCATCACTGAAAGCTTAGGGAAAAGTTAGTGTAAGGAATGGTGAAGTCCAGAGAGATGTCTCAACGGTATTGAAAGCTGTGCGTCAGACCAAGGCATGGAATAGGTGTGGACTTGCCACGTCCGTTCGTATGTGGATAAAAAAGCACTCGATAAAAGGCCTATTGAACTAGTTGACTTGTGTATAGTGGAATAGTGTACTGGAGCTCCAAGGTCGGGCACGAAGTAAAATATATAGTCACAAGGCCGGAATACGGAGACCCCTACCGTGCTAGACATTGCACGGGCTTCAAACACGCACATACTTCGTACTGAAATTATAACACGTGCGTTACCTAACAGTGTCATTAATTATGGATGCAATGATGTATTCTTATTTAAACTAAGCGGGTAGTAAATGAAAACGGTCGTGGTGCCAAAATCAGTAATCAAGATAAAACTGTTCTTGTTTTGTTATACGGTAATTAGTTTTTGGCGGATGCACCACCAGAGGGCACTGTGAGAAATAAAATCTTGCACACAGATTATTTTATACATTTCATTCGATCGATGCAATCAATAAGATAAAACTGATTCCAGGAAGTGATACGTTTTGACAATTGAGGTGCGGCTCCAAGAATCCCCATATCTACTTGGCTGGTATTATTTTCCCAATATCGCCGACCTACAGAACTATTTATCACATCTATTATATAATATCGGTGCGCTTAGCGGAAAACAATCTGTTCGATGAATAAAACTCATTTGATGGAATGTTAAATATTCATAGGATGGTAGAGAGAGAGAGAGAGTGACAACACTTTCTAGAGACAGAGCCTGTGTCAGTATTGTCTGTACTTTGTCTATGAAAGCCAAAATGTCAATATAATACGCCGGTGATGAAGAACAGTAAGGAACACTTTCCTTTCAATTACCGTCCATGTTGTTGTTTTCTACTGTCAGCAGACACCCCCATTATCAGCACAAAATGTCTGTGGCACTGTGCTTTGCGTATCAGTGTTTCCCACTTTGTTGATAAAGAAAATATCTAAACACGTATTCACCAGAGCGACAAAGCTAACACGTCACGGGAACGCTTGAAACAGCGCTTTCATAAGGACTCTTTACACAACGCTTACACTCGCGTCAACACCTGCGCATGTCTGCTGTGTTTGCTTGCCTCAAAGAATGTAGCAACCTTGACCAGATGCCAAAATCCTGGTGTTCAAGAATAGACATTTTGGAACAAGTTACGGCAGGAACCATCAAACACTTTCGCCTATGCAGAAGATGACTACATAGAAATATTTCGAGGGGATTACACGCTGTTTGAAGATGGTGGGCGGTGCAACGTTGTTAATAATCTGGAAGGGGATGCTGGAAAAGTATTTGTTGTATATCAGTGCGCAGATATATACCCTTCAATAAGGACTTTCATTAACACGGGGCCCCTGAAAAAGCGATAGTATACCGCATAACATGGATTAAAAACTGTGTGTAGTTATAAAGAATTTCACGGATAAAACAAAAAGGAAAATTGTAGAACTGGCGCGGACGAGCTGGTAAATTCAATCTAGCTAATTCGCATATTCTGGTAGCGATGGGAACCCAAGTATAAAAGCTACATCAATATATACGAGACCTCTGACCGTTGGTGACGCCCATTCATTCCCGGATACAGTCGCTTGTAAATGACAGTAATTGTAGCAATAGGCCTTGTTTGCCTGCTCTGTCCTTGTCGCCTGCTCGCAGAGAGCCAGCGTCCTGTCCGGGGTTGTTCTCTGGAATTAGTGCCGACAAGGAGGTGTGGACATCGGAATTCCTATTGTTACGCACACTATTAATTTGTCATCTCCAGGAACTCCGGTAAATGAGGAGATATGGTTGGGGCTGTGTGAGCTTTTGGCATTACAGGCCATGTAGCGTTTTGTTCTCGGCATTACAGTGCTGGATGTGCAGTTGTCATAGCTAGCTGTCGTGTCCTCAATGCTTGTGGACACCAGTACAGGGATTATTATAACGCCGCTCACCCCCTATCACACATTATCACATTGGTGGTTTTTGGTACCAAGTTGTCATCGCATTCTCTATTGATCGGATATATAAAAGTACCACCATCGGATTCGCTTGACCACATAGTGGACAGCCAAGACGATGTCGGAAACCATGGTCAGTTCCAATATGCGCTCGGAAAACAACAACACGTACCAATGGAAGGCGGACACTAGGAGGGCCGCACCATGCACTTGCGCTCGGTAAAGTTGGGATAGAATCGGGGTGGGGACAATACTGTGGTATGTATCCTACCTGGTTTCCAGGGTAGGGATTCTGCTATTTTATTTTGTTCATGTAAATGTATAAGAGCAATATACAATATAGTTGTTCTTCAAATAATTCTTTATTACAAAATAAAAATGAGAAATGTTTACTGTATTTCATAAATACACTTATTAATCGAACGAGGAAATATTGAACTTTCTATTACTTTTTTGTAAAGATATGGTTCGAAGGTATATTCAGTATTTTTATTAACGTCTCGGTTATCAGGTCTTCGGAATACGTATATGAAAATGCTAGTGATGTCTATATGTTGGGAAGACCGTTTATAACACACATGTTCTAGAGTGTTAAAGTAGGATTAACAATAAAGGTGAGTGATCCCGTTCACACAAATACACATGTCTTTAATGTAAACAGAATATATTAGGACAAGCATGGCGTCAGATCGGGATGCTAAGTGACGACACATGTGTATACATGTATGTACAGTAGGCGTGCATGCACGTTCATGAACATGCACATGTGTTTTGTGGTGTAGTCCCTTAATCGTTGAATCAGGTAGGCAGAAGTATCTGATTGTTACGCAATGTTTCAGTGACGACCGACACCGGGTCTAATTCTATGGATATATGATGAAATGTCATTTATATAAATAGCAACAAGTAGTTAAACCATTGTAAGGTGTGTTTGATCAGTCCAGGGCCTATCTCGAACCTTAGCAGTTGTTAAATGTCGAAGTTGAATGCCGAAGTTTGTTTATAGTGCGCTAATTGTCTGTGATTTACAAATCTGACGGTGTGTAAACTGTTTCCGTGACAGCTACAAGTGATAGCCGATGTTACCATCATCCAAACCAGATGTATGGTGCCAAGCGCAACCTTGACCCCCTACAAACACTGGAGAAGTCAATAAGCGCCCTGTAGACCTGGACGTAAGGGGGAATCAATACATTCCTCCCATTTCTATTTCTATCTATTCGGTCTAGTGGTACACATCTTATGTATGTTTTTGGCCGGAAGTAATTGAATGAAAGCTGTTTATGTAACGAGACATATTTGTGGCTTCTCGTGCTCCCTAAATAGTTTAGGGATGCCCACTGTTAATATATATATATATATATATATATATAACACATTCACCGTTCGTGTCTGTGGGGAAATACTGACTTTAGTCTGTACATGTATATTCATATATGTAGGGAAATACAGTAGTAGCTAGGTCGGCACATTCAAACATGATTTACGTTTTAGAGTTGGCAAGAAATTACATCGTCAGTATTGAGGAATGCCCTGCTAGATAAATTGGCATGGACTATCTACCCCAAAACCAATCGACTACATCAAATTGTCGAATGGTTTTAGCCGTTATTTGTTACTGATACAAACATATTGATGGTTACCAACACGTGTTTATATATTATAGCTGTCTGTCTAGAATGCTGTACAGTGTACACATGCTTAAGTTTGTCTCTCTCGTGTCAATTAAAGGTCCATACAGGAACGTGCTATATGTGATGTATTTACCATTATGTGAGTGCTGTCTCTGCCACGACATGAAAAATATGTGGTCTGACTGATTGTACTACCGTAAACTCCCTGAATTATGTATGTGACGATTGCCTTGAATTCTGTCGCTCTTTGATTCCTGGATTTTCAGGGTATTATTGTGTATAGACCACATTTTGATACGCATAGCTGTCGATCTCTTACTTTGTGGCAGTATTTCATTACGGTATTAGTTTGGTCAATACGTTGAGTATCTCAGTTAATATTTGGTATAGTGTAGAGTCGGAAGCCGAGAAGAGTAATGCTATCAATGGCCAAAACATTACAATCAGGTGGTGTTTGCATCATTTAGCAAGACACTTAACCCCTGTCCATTCATCCGCCAGTCTGTAGACTTTAGGGAGTATAGTGTCGTCTGCTTGTAAAATTGGTTTTATGTAATATTCAGGTCGTATTGCGCTATAAATCAGTCTTTATAAAATACGGGCCCATAACAAGAGGATCACCTTTACAACATATAGGATACATGCACACTAAATGTGAAATAGTCTACGACAACTCCCCATGTCGTGTTTGTTCTCCTACAGAATAAAGTATAAACAGAACATCAGGTATTGGACACTAACTGTAACTAATGCTTACCTCAACGAAACAGCAGTGCTGAATAGTGTGCTAACTAGTGGCCAACGAACATTTAAATCAAACGGCGTTTACTTGTTTTTACTCCAAGGGTGTAACTACTCCCTGTAGAACAATTGTTTTGACAATTACCAAACATAACGAGGGTTGACGTCTCCATATACATATAGAATTATGGAAGAAACAGATTATTCAATTAGTGATAATTCATCGTGAGTTTAAAGATCCTCTTACCACTGCCAAAAACTAAATAATAGAAACTGTTTTTTTCACAACACGACTAACTTGGTAAGACTTGTAGGCTATACTTGAACATTAACTCTCTTGAATGGCCTAATATTACAATAAATCTACACTTGTTAGGTACAACGTAAAGTGTAACGTGTACTGTGTAAGTATTAGGGGTAACGTGACACCATGGTCCAAACGTTTGAAATAACGGTTAAAATATATTTTATCTCCGATCAAAAAAAGCGTATCTGACTTCGTACGTGTTTTCAGTAGCAGCCTATTTTGTTTCGCTTACTAACGTAGCCTAACGTTAGATCTATATACAGCTTGGCTAAACAGTTACAATATGTAGTCGTGGTGGGACCAATGTTATTCGTGGCTAATATGCTAATCAGATATTAACTAGAACCCCTGAACAGAACATTATGACTATCACGATAGACAATTTCAACCCCACGGGAACCACTATTAAATTGTGATAATGCCTGATCCGTGTCATTTGGCAGCGGATGGGTAAGAGGCTCCCTCTTTCCAGTGTCGGTCAGTCTCTGTAGCATCGTAAACGTGTGCGCATCGGTCAATCTCTGGAAAACCTACACGTGTAGTATTGGTCAAAATCTATAAAGCTTTCCTAACACATCCAATGGTTCTTGGTCTCCTGAGCAGCATATTGCACGTATTGTGTTTGTGAGTATGGACCATCCAAGATTTTGTAGACCAATCTCAGTAGCATACTACTTTGCATTGTAGTTCAAACTCCTTCACGTTATTTGTCGGTCAATCTCTGCGGCATTTTCGGTCAATCCCTTAGAGATCCTAAGTGTCAGTTGTCAGGCAGTCTCTTGAGCACCCTACATTGTCAATATCTGCATTGTCAGTCGCTTTATTGTCACCATAAAAACAACTGCGTATTTAGTCGGTCACGTGATCACTTTACACGTACGTTGTGACGTCGGTCAGTATAGACGTGCGTTGTCAATCAGTTTCTGGTGCTGGTGTGGTTTTCGATGTTTCCATATTTTGTTTATATGTTATTGTTTATATATTATATGTATGTATATGACGTTTCCGTCAGAAGCTAGAAATTAAAAGTACAGCCATGGCAGAATCAGCTATCAAAAAGGTGGTATGTACTTCCGATGACGTCGTACTTGTGAAATCGGAAATGGGGCATCAGTAGCCGCCATCGGTCTATTACAAATATACACCAGGAGACATTGCAGTAGCTGTGTAAAATTATCCTCAACAGATTAATACAAAACTTCACCGCTCTATCGATTAATCGCACTCCCAGATTTAGTTTCCGTTTTTATTACCTTCTGGCCTTTGATGTAGGGGCCTAAATCCTGATTTAGCTTGAATAGATTACCAAACAACGCCAATATCGCTCTTCATGTCGACATCATGCGCCAATAGTAGCGGTCCTATCGTACTAAAATAACAATACAATCCCGATCTGTAGGATACTTTTACTATCCGCTGAACTTTTCGGTGTAATTTCGGTTAGGGGAGATACTTACAGAGGAACGTAAACATGAAATTAATGAAAATAATCCAGGATTGCTTATTTCAGTGTGTAATGCGATTCATAGATGTACGTTTCTGTAAGGTATATTACCTGATACGTGAGCTGAAATGTATTTCTCTATGACAGCTGAAATGTTCATTTCAAAGATATATCGCGATAATTTATATTACAAAATCGATTCTATAATGAAAGTTCATGTGAGAGTCGCCTTACACTATAATATCCATATCAACTTCGATGATCAACGATATATTTTTATTTCTTGATCGGAGCATTTAATTTGTCTTTGTATAGCGCGTGGAACCAATTTCACTTCAGTCTTTTCATTTACATTTTATTGAACAGCTACGTGTACATACAGTTGTATATTTAGAAATGTTACCTATTGAATATAAGGTGTACTTCTACTCAATTGAATTGCCATGTTTATGAATTTGCGTAGATAAGTAAAGACATGTATTTTTTTCTCCTTTACTTTCTCGTTTAAATGGTTGTTTACGTTTCTATTGAGTCAATATTATATAATAAAGTTCTGACTGTATTGCTGTGAATGTAAGTGCACTGAGGTATAGACAATTCAACACGATGATATACATATTTAGCCAGCATAGTGTGGTTTATATAGATATATTTATTAAAAATGTTTGTTTGTAAAAAGATGTATCTACATGTATAAGATCTGATTACAAACATATAACGACATTTAAACACGGGTTCAACTTCTCGTATCATAATAGTAATTGTATCTGCAATCGATTTCCGCTGACAATGTGTGATAATGTTTTTATATAGGAAAGCGAAAGTAGGATACCATGGTAACAAACTTAAGTATAGGATGCATTCCTCAGCGTTGCCAGAGTGCACTGACAGACTACGTTTTGAGATAACTTCCTCTTCCTGAAAGCCAGGACCCCGTAACGAAGCCAACTGGCTCACGCACGCAAAGTGCATTAGGCAGTTCCATTGGGAGCACTTGATGTAGCGGGCAACATCGACCGACTTCTGGGCGATTCTTCAGCGTGTCGCAGGAATATTGTTTACATGTTAGTTAACGTAATTTATGGAAATTGAA